CCCTTGGCAGAAAAAAAGTTCCCCACCCCTGATCTACAGGCTCAGGGGCACATGGCTAGGTGGTGGACCTAGGCTTCAGAGTTCATTTCCACGGCTCTTTTTTGCAAGGCCAGGTCGCCTTTTCCATGTCCATTCTGTGTTTTTGAGAACACAAGAGAGAGGTTTTCCAGTGCCAGTGCTACTGTTGAACCCTCATCACCTCCACTCTAATTACAGAATGAGCTATTATGGGGAATAGGTATTGAGCTAGTCTAAGCTGTCCAATCTCGTTCTCTTTTAGGGCCTATTCTGATAAAGACTTAATAGAGAAATTGGTTGCCATCATTATGATTATCAACAAAAATAATGATCCAGGACCTCAAGATGCACAATAGGATCATAGTTCTTGAATCACAGGATATTTAGACTAGAAGGAGTCTCAAAGATAATTGCGTCTAACCCAACCCGCTCAGTTAGTAGGTGAAGAAACTGAGGCCTAGAGTCATCAACAGTAATGATAACCAGAGAGATGGTCTGTTGGCCATAGAAGATACCTGGCAAACGTTAGCCCATAGAGAGCTCCAACATGATTCTACATTCGAAGTATGGCATGTTTATAGCCAAATGAAAGGTAAAAGTTATTTAAGATTCAGGCATGTAGGTCTCCAAGAGTAGTCCTCATAAGAGAGGAAAACCACACTGATAGCAGTGAGGCCTTCATTTATGTGCTAGAAGAACCTGATTAATAGGGACCTAATACTGGGACAGTTCTAGAAATACAGCCTCCACATTTGACTAGGGCAGTGGTCGGCAAACTCATTAGTCAACAGAGCCAAGTATCAACAGTACAAAATTTCTTTTGAGAGCCAAATTTTTTAAACTTAAACTATATAGGTAGGTACATTGTTATTAACTTAATTAGGGTACTCCTAAGTCTTAGGAAGAGCCACACTCAAGGGGCCAAAGAGCCGCATGTGGCTCTCGAGCCGCAGTTTGCCGACCACGGGACTAGGGCATATAAATATCCTGTACCGTGTAAGAGGACTTGCTTTCCACCTTGAGGCTGAGTTCTGACTCAGTTCATTCCGCAGATATTTACAGAGGAGCATTTTAGTGGGCTGTTCCTTTGTTATACCTTGTTCATATTTCCAGATGGGTTGTATAATCGAAGTTACTGGCATTTAGTTCTAGAAGTGCTCTCTATTTATGAAACACAGCAGCACACACACCCCACCCCAGTTAGAGTAATTTCCTTGTATCGGTACCGTGGGAGTGTATCTTTAGAAATCTATGAAATAACTGTAGTTCCCTTGCCATAAGTAATTCAGTATTTGGGCACATCATAGGCCATGCAATGATGACAATAGTGGCCAGTTATTGGACACCTGCTATGTGCAAGGTGCTATACACAAAGAAGGAAATTCTGACTGGTAGAAAAGTTTAGTAACTTGCTAATGAGTCCAGTGTGTCACTGAGCTGTTGTACCTTACTAGATCTCTAAATTGAACAATGGTTTTATTCTTTAGTTTATATTTGACTTGTTGCTCCTGCTTGTCTGGAAATAAAGTGTGTAGAGGTGAGGTGGTTAGCAGTTCTAGAAAGGCATTTATAGCCAGAAATGTAGTTCCCCTTCCTTTCAGCAGTACAAAGGAGGGAGAATAAAGTTTAGAGGTACTGAATAGGGTAGGGATGATCTAAGTTGGATAAAAGAACTCAGCCTTAAATATCTTTGGATCCAAACAAGCTTAGAAGGCTGAGTTTCTGAGTAGATTGGCACATTCAAAATTCAATTTTACTGCCTCACATACCAATATACCTTCTAATTAAATTAAACCCTCATGCTATTTAGACAGGGTTCTTGAGAGCCTTTCTTCCTTTTTTTTTTTTAAGTTGTAGTTTTATGACAAGATCAGCCTTGCATTTAAAAAGCAACAGAAAAATTCGTCCTTGATACCATTCTAAATTATTACCTTAAAAGATTAATTCTATGTAGAAACTGTTAAAAATACATTTTTATAACTTAATGGGTTTTTCCCCAAAAAAGATTTCTTGTTTTATCCCCTTACCATAAATGCTAAAAAATATTTACAAGAACCATTATATTGGCAACTAGGTACATTTATTTCAGATAGTTTATGGAATTCACATATAATGGCACAGAATAAGCTTTCTTGGTTTCTAAGCACAACTTATTTTCATTTGTATTGGATATTTACTAAGCTTCAGTTTACAAGCCTAGCCTGATTCTGGTGCTTGTTTATCTTTTATCTAATGTTGGTTTTTACTAAACTTCATGTCTATAAATTCCTAAGTTATAGTCTTCAGATTTACAACTTCTTCCTTCCTTTTCTTCTTGTTCATTCCTTCATTTTTTATTTTTTATTTTTTAATTTATTTTCTAATATATGTTATTGATTTTTTACAGAGTGGAAGGGAGAGGGATACAGAGTTTGAAACATCGATGAGAGAGAAAGATCGATTAGCTGCCTCCTGCACACCTCCTACTGGGGATGCGCCCGCAACCAAGGTACATGCCCTTGGCTGAAATCGAACCTGGGACCCTTCAGTCTGCAGACCGATACTCTATCTACTGAGCCAAACCGGTTAAGGCCCTTCATTTTTTATTTTATTTTTAATCCTCACCTGAGAATATACTTACTGATTTTTTTCTCTCCTTTTTTTTTTTTTAAGAGAGGAGAACAGACGAGGGCGGGGGAGGGGGGTAGGTAGAGGTAGAGAGGTGAGAGAGAAATCTCGATTGGAGGCCTCCTGTAGATGTCCCCTACTGGGGATTGAGCCTGCAACCTAGGTATGCGCCCTGATTGGGTATCAAACCTGTAATCTAGGTATATGCCCTGACCGGGAATCAAATCTACAATCTTTTGGTGTATGGGAGGATGCTCCAATCAACTGAGCAACACCAGCCAGGGCTCATCTTTTATTTTTAAAATTTCCCTTTTAATTATAAAAATAATATACCAAAAGTGAGTTTTGTAAAGAAGAAAATCACCAGAAATTCCATCACCCTGTACAGCTGCTTTTATATTTGCATTGTTCAAATGCATCCATATATTTATGTAGATACTTTTGTCATAGACACAGAACTATAATTTGATGGTTTCCACTTAATGCCATCATACGTAATTTACCATGTTGTTTCAGAGCTTTTTAGCCATCTTTTTAAAATTATAATAAAATATTCTGTCAGGTGGATGCACAGCAGTTTATTTAATTAATCTCATGTTATTGGATATTCAAGGCTGTCTGTTTTCTTCTATAATAACACTGCAGTGAATATGTTTACATATATAATTTTTCTCTCATTCTGGATGAATTTCATTAGGGTAAATTCTTAGGAGTAGAAGTTCTGGGTCAAAGGGGACGAATATTTTTATGGTTTCCAACATGTGTTGCCAAATCACTTTCTCTTTTAAAGTTTGTGTCAGTTTATACTGCTGCCAGCAATATCATGCTTGGATTATTGATGACCATTTCCCAGAGAGCTTTGTGTCTTCAGTCTTGCTCTCTTTTGATCTGGCCTGTAACCTACTGTCCAAAATATTCCAGCATGCTCTACTGTTCACATTTTTTTCAGAGTCTTCTGCTGGATGCCTGTTACCTATCTTACAGTTCAAGTGTAAATTTTAAAATCCAGCCCCTACCTCCTGACATAATTCATTTTAATTTATGGTATGGTTTGCATACCATATAAGAAGCAGGCTCTTTTACTTCTAAGTCCTCCCTCTGACCATTTCTTATATTCAGAACTTCTGCTCTGTCAACATTTCTTCTCCATCTCATAAATTTAATTTCAAAGATTTCTTCTTCTACAAAGCTGTCAATACAGAACCCCTCTGTAATGATGATATCTTCAGTACTCAGTGTACTTAACTCCTGGTGGGTTGCCAGTAAATGTTTGTTAGTATGGCCAGTGAGGGAATACAAAGGAAAGGCAGAGAGATGTTCACTGCAGACTTTTTTTTTTTAAGGAAAGCTTAGGATTCATAAAAGCACTTGGTTCTTCTGACTAAAACTTGAAGAGGAGAATGAGGAATTTTGTGCTCTAGTTTTTGGGTACCATCACTCTTTCTGTGACAGTAGATAACTCAGCTTACTCCATCATCTATTTTAGCTACAGAGTGGAAAATAGTGTTCCCGCCAGTCATTTTAGGAGTCATCACACTCTCTTCTCTTTCAGTTATTTTTTCCCTCAATATCATTGGCATCACCATCAATATAACCCTAAAGTTTACTGTTTAGTATGTGCCAGGCATTGAGATGGTGAGTTATATGCCATAGCTGTTTTAACCCTCATAGCAGCTCTGTGAACTAGGTACCCCCTCTTTTCACATGAGAAACTCAGTTATGGAGAGTTTGTTACTTACTGAACTAACTAATAAGTAATGGAGCCACAATATTAAACCCTCATTCTTATAGAATATTTGTCTGAATAGTCTCTTTTCTATCGATAATTATCTGATGATTTCTTATTACATATGACAAAGAAAGTACAAACTCCTCAGCAGCATTGGAAGGACCTTCCAAATCTCTATCCAATCTACTTTTCCATTCTCATCTTTCTTTACTCTTCCCACCCCCTAACATTTGTGCTTTCACTCTGACAGAGCTGCTTATTTCACAAATATATCATATTGTTTCTCACATCTGAGCCTTTGTTTCTATTCCTGCAATGCTTTTCATTTCCTCCTGGCAAACTTCTATTCATACCCCAAGGTCCAGTTCAAATTCTCTATACTGCATGCAGAGCATTCCAGATTTCCCTGGGCAGAGTTAGAGGCTTGACACTCTGTGCTCCTTGGTATGTATTTCTGCTGTAGTCCTTTTATACTTCTTAAGATTATTTGCTTACATGCCGATCTCTCTTACTTTAATAAGAAAAGTGAGATATGATATGGGGAAGGCAACATTTTTACAGAGACATTATATATTTTTAAACATAGCCAAAATTAAAAATCTCTGTATTTAAATGACATTGTTTTCCTTTTTTTCCCCTCCCTCAGCATAGGGCTACTTTCAAATTTGAACCAACAGATGAAGATAAAAGAAAGGTAAGCCTGTGTGTGTGTGTGTGTGTGTGTTTCATTCATGAACTTTCTAAAGAGTGGACTTGTTTTCATCTGATGGTTATTTAGTTTTCAATTTCCCTCCAGTTTGTTTTTTAGGAACTCTGAGAAGAAAGCAAGTGCCAGGTTTAGTACATGCAACTCATTCCTGATCCATCCTCACAGGACCATTATACTAGTACTTGGATAAATTAGAGCAATGGGAAGGGTTCGTTTAACGGCAGGACAGCAGGCTGCCCAAAATGTTTTGCATTTAGCTTTGGGTTAACAGCTGTTCATACTGCTGCCCCTTAGCCACATATTGTTCCCTGTCTGACATTTATTTATGTTGCGGCAATTGTCTAAGTCACTTCAGGGGCGTAGATGAAAGTGGAATCAAGAGACTCACCAATAGAGGAATTATAAGTGAAGGTGCATCAGAGATATGACCATGTAATGTGTGTTTCCCTGTTGGGTTGCCTATGTTTGCTTTACTTAGTTGATTAGAGCGTGATGCACCATTCTGTGTGTTTTGCTGGTCTGCATACATCTGTCCTGGTCTATTACATGTGAAGACCAGATAAGAGAGCATGACTGAATCAGTGCAAACCTATCACTGCTACTGGAAAAATAGCTTAAATCTGTTGCTATTCTTGGTAGTGGTTTGATAATACCTTGTAATCAAACTTCTGTTCACCTCCACCTCCAAAATCTAATGTTTATGTCCTGCTCATTTTACCTCTTATGATTTCTTTAGTCCATTCTCTCCTTTAACCCCTGTCCTAATTCCAGCTTTCATCTGGATTACCGCACCAGTTTCCTGCTCTCTCTTTTTCCAGTATGTGCCCTTCCAGTCCATTGTCCATAAATCTAGAACAACAATCTGATCGTGTTACTCCCAGCCTTTAAAACCCTTGAGTGACTTTTTTTTTGCCTATAAAAGTCCAAGCTTCTAAACGTGACATCCTAGATGCTTAGTGACCTGATCTCTGCCTACTTTTGCAGCTTACTTCTCTCCCTTATATTTTATGCTCTAGCAATATGAAATATTTCCAGTTATATACCACCCTTTCTGTTTCTTATTTTCTACCTTTGCATATGTTGTTTTCTACCTGGTTAAGCCAGTGGAGTTCCAGGGCACATCCTTCAGGAAGCCTCCTCTAGCATTCCTGTTAAGGTGAAGTATCCCTTTTCAGTATTTCAGTAAAACTCTACGTAAATCTCTAACACTATGTTTATACATTGTCTCAAATATGTATCATTATTAGACCCTGATGACAGATATTATTATTTACCCTTATGTCCTTGACACATAGAGTGTCCAGCACATAGTAGGCACTCAAAAATTATGATTGAAGGGGTGATATGGAATATAAACTTTGAAAGTTAAAGATTGAACTCTGATTTTCTTGTGGATCTGAACAGTGAAAATACGATGAGAATTCCTTTTAGAACTGGGGTTCTCAACCAGGAATGTGATATTTGGGGAACTTTTGATGATAGCCTGCTCAGGGCTGACCCTCTATCTACTGAGTCAGAATTTGAGGCGTGGAATCCAGGCATGTGTATTTTTACAGATAGTCTTCAGGAAACAAGTACTTGCACATTTGATGGGAATACAAAATGGCACAAATCCTGTGGAACAGAAACTGGCAGTATCTACCAAAATTACAGATGCAGTTTGCCCTTTGACCAGACAGTGCCACTTTTAGAAATCTGTTTTGTGGATAGGTTGAACTCAAGTAAACAAAGTTATTCATTGAAGCATTGTACATGGTAGTAAAAGATTGGAAACAACCAAGTGTCCAGCAATTAGGGAATATTTGAAGAAACTAGGGTATATCTACATAATGGAATACTATGATATGATAGAGACGAGGCTGTGTGAGAGACAGACCATTATGTGCTAATCAGAGAGAGGGTTAAGTGAAAGAAAAAAAGCATGTTGTTAGCAAGACATACTCACAATAGGTATTCAGATTAGGAAGACAAGTGCTATTCAATTAATTGAGTTGGGAGAATCCATAATACATCTAGATTTATGGTCCCTTGGGAATCTGGCGCTAGAATTTTTGGTGGTGCTTTTACTGACCAAAGTAAATATGCCCTAGCTGGTTTGGCTCAGTGGTTGGAGCGTTAGCCCATGGACTTAAGGGTATTGGGTTTGATTCCCAGTCAAGGGCACATACCTTGGTTGCAGGCTCAATATCGGCCCAGGTCAGGGCAAATACGGGAGGCAGCCAGTCGATGTGTCTCTCACGCATTGATGTTTCTCTCTCCACCCTCCTCACTCCCTTCCATTCTCCCTAAAAATCAATGGAAAAATATCCTCGGGTGAGGATTAAAAATAAAAGTAAATACATCAAGACAGAGATCCCCTTACTTCATATAAGTTTCAGTTGAGGGGAAAAAGAATTCCCACACAGTTATTAATAAAGCATGTTTATTTCCTATATGATAGTAGCAAAACCTAACGTTTTCAAAGTGTTTACTGCCTTTTAAATCATTGGAGATGGTAACGACTGTACTGGTGTTATTTTTAGTTCTAGTGTGCAGATTTCTGCTTCCTGGGAGTTCTGATATAAACAAATATCATTAGGGACCTAGCTAGGTAATCTTCATTAACGGAAAAACATTGACAAACAAAACCACTTCAGTCTCCAGTGGTTAAAACTATTAGTGACTCTTTCATGCCTAAGGCTCTAAAAAGAGTTTGAAATCCTAACTGTTGGACTGCTTCTAAAGGATCTACATCCCAACAGTTTTTTAAATTCTCAGTGCCGAAAGACACAGAAGAGTGGGCAAGTCTCCACATTAAACCAAGACTGAAAATAAGAGGAATTCACATTACCAGTTTGTTTTGCTACCCCAGTTCTCTTTTTCTCTTTCTTAAACATGTCTCCGGAGTCTTCATACAGTAGCTCCTTGGTAACTGCAGCACCCCTTTTGATAAACTACGGGTGCTGCCTCTAAAAACACACCTTTCTTATGTAAAACCTTTGTGACAACTTAGAAGTAAATGTAAGGGAACAGAGCCTTTCAAAAAATAAAAATTATACTGAGATTTTTAGGAAATAGCTATAGACCCAATTTCTAACACTCATGTAGTGTTTTGCATGTTTACAAAGATTTGCTTTGTAATAGTAATGCACTAATGCTATAAGTGTGGCAAGAATGTCAACATCCCTATTTTATTGATATGAAAACACATTAATAACAGCTTGCAAAAACTCAGTCACTAGTAAGTGGTGGAGCCTCAAATAGAGAACAGATTTTCTGACTATTGTGTGCGGCTCCTTCACTGCTCAGTGCTCCCACTCATTACCACTTGAGGTGTATTTCATAAGGTTTGAAATTATGGCTCAATACCTTGTTTTATCTCTTATTTCATATCTTGAGACACCATTTAGGCAACGAGACTTAAATTGGAAGATAACAAAGGAAATTACTAGGCATGCTTAAATTTTTCCAAATAAAATCAGTTACAACTGCTAATGCTTGTGCATATATGCAAATAGCTCCAGGTGCATGTGGATCATTATACATTTGGATGTAAGCACCTGTGCTTACTGAAGCATTTGCTTTACATTTGCTATCTAAATTGGTAGACTATGATTTTCTGCCAGCACATAAACAAATATATCATGGAAATATGTAGGATGGGGATGTATGAATAATCTAAAAATTTACATCTTGAAGAAATGAAAGCTCTTATATTGGTTTCTGAAACACATTGATCTCAAGACCAATGGATTAGTACATAATTGCAATACATGTTGAAAAATACGTGTCACAAAATGAGCAAAAGAATTATAGCTCTTTCACCTGTAAGATGAGAATATAACTAGATAAAATGTGGAAAACTTCAGTTGTTGTTTAAGGTAAATCTTTGTATATAGTAATTTTCCTCAAAAGAATGAAGTTAAAAATAGCCAAATTGTAAGCATTTCTTTTATTACCTTCAAACTCACATAGGTAAGCCAAATTTCTGAGAAAGCAGAGAGTAATTGCTGAGCTGAGAATTCTTTGAGGACAAGCATGTGCTTGCTTACTTCTTTGTGTTCTCATCCCCCAGCACTGCATGTGGCACAAAATAGGCACCTACAGTATAAACACCTATTAAATGAATGAAAGGAACTTGGAAATTGAGTGGAGACCAGAATTCTTATGGCATGCACATATTGTTTGGTGTTGAGTTTGATATTCTCTTAACTATACAGCAGGGTCTCAAGAACATCTCATAATGTTGTTTACTGAAAAAGCGGGATACAAGAGTATTCATACAGTACGATCAAACCATGTATAAGACTAATAAAAGCTATACAAGAAAAGTGATTACAAGAAAATTCATTAAATGGTGACTATTTGAATATTATTACTGTGGATGATACTTTTCTTTTCTGGTCTGTAATTTAAACTTCTATTATATTATAGTAGATTATAATGCTATAAAATATGATAATATAATATGTGACATATGTTATATATATATCACATATTATATTCTTTTATATAGTATGTCCAGAGGTATAAGCAAAGACCAATACTTTTTTAAAAAAATATTTATTTTCTCTAAAATTGAGTCTTCTTGATTATCCTACACATTCCTTTTAGAGAAGTGGTTCTCAACCATCTGGCCCTTTAAATACAGTTCCTCATGTTGTGACCCAACCATAAAATTATTTTCATTGTTACTTCATAACTGTAATGTTGCTACTGTTATGAATCATAATGTAAACATCCGATATGCAGGATGGTCTTAGGCTACCCCTATGAAAGGGTTGCTCGACTGCCAAAGGGGTCGCGACCCACAGGTTGAGAACCACTGTTTTAGAGGCACATAAAAATGCCACATTTAGAGATAGTATCACCTATAGACTCAGTTTATGGAGTGAAATAAATTTATATGAACACAGAGTTCCATGTTACCATTTGAAATATTTTATTTTAACTTTTCCTTCCAGACTTGGCATATTAGTGAAGATATCTGTAGTCCATAAGTGTTT